TTCCCTGATCATTCATTAGAAGTTCATAAATTGCGGATTTTATTTTGTATTTTTGTATTTTGATTATTCTATTATGGTACGTCGATGGATTCCATTTGGATGCAATCTGAGTGCTCTTATTTCCTTTCTCTGCTGTAATGTGCAACGATGACACTGAAATTTCTCCACTGTGAGACTAATAAAGGTTTATCTTATCTTATCTTATCTTAAAACAGCACCTACTGATAATCTCCAAGTAAACTCCATATGCACTCCACAGGCCAGTCACCAAGGAAATGTATTTATTGATTGTTGACATCAGTCATTAGACATTTCTGCAAGAACAAAAGTCCACATACTGAAGCATCAGTGTCATTCCAGAGGTGGTACATCATCAGCTTTATTCCATGGAAATATAAACATAAAACTAGATATGTTATGAATCATACAGATAAAGTTATTCATGTAAGATAACAAGTTAAAACTCCAGCTAAAGGAGCACATTTGCACAGAAATACACAGGAGGCGGCTCTCCCCCAAAGACAGGCATGAATCACATGGTTTTGTTTTAGCTTTTTCAATGCCATTTTGATGCATACACTAGTTTATTTTTGGCTAAAAAGGGTCATACTGTGCGGCTTTGAGAAATGCAAGATAGGAAGGTATTGTTTACTGTTGTAAAATAAATAATTAATAACATTTGACCAGTTTCCACATTTCTCAAAAATCAATCATGATGGTCTTGGGTCTAATAAAAATAAAAACTTAGACATGACCACATTAGCCTGGGTGCTTTTGGGGCACGAGATCGAAGCTTTTAAAAACACAATAGTGAGCTCACAGTGGGCACCATCTGGAGCCCGGGGGACGGCCATCTGTCTGGGTCCAGTGCAGGTCTCTGCAAGAGGGATACTGAGCTAAGAGACGGCACCCAAATATAGGACACATCCACAGGCACCTTCCAGAGCTCTACCAGAATAGATTATGAATGCATCTTTGTGTCTCACAAATGCTTAAGGAAAGAGATTTAAGTTATGTCTTAAAAATCTCATCATATACATCATTATAAATAAATAAATAACATGTATTTCAACGATACGAGTTACCTGAACATAAGCATTATAGATTTCTAAACACAAAGTATAAACGTCTAAAACAATTAGTAAGAGGTAAGAGAGTAAGATAATTAGTAACCGTTTTGACTGGTTCTGGGCTGTTCTAAGCGTTGTACATAAGCCTACTTTGGGTCAGCAAGGGCCACCTAAAATTACACAGAGGGCTGCAATTGGCCCGCAGGCCTTAGTTTGGACATGCTTGGTTTAAAATATGAAATGGAAATGAGCTTTAAATTTCATGCTTTTGTCAGAAAAACAAGCACAGAAAGACCCATTGACAAATAAATCTCAGTTGTGGTTAAAATAATATAGGTATAAATATTGCAGTTCATTATGTAGCTACCACAAACTACTGTTTACATTTGAAACACATTCAGAAAATGGACTCGGAGAAACAAGGAAGCCAGAGAACAACGACACCAGACTTCATCAGAAGATGAATATACAATCTTTGGCCGTATATTTTGGTACAGTAATATATGGCTATTGTTTTAATTAGTTTGGCTTGATGTCAGCCACGTCTAGCTCTTCACAAATATTGTTATTGCGATAGTTTATGTGCTAAATGGGCAGCTCTCGATGCCGTCTCTTCATTTTGCACATAAATATTTGATCTTCAGTAGCTCTGTCAACAAAGTCCCAGGCACTCTGCTTCTTACATACCAATCCAGAGACCACCCATAACATCAGAAGATCCCAAGTTTCTTCTGTGCAATTGGGACGCATTCAAAGTACCATAAGCAACATTTTCTGTATTAGTCTAGCTGAGTTCTTTGGGTTATTTATTCATTCTAAATATTCCACCTCTCAATCTCATTGTATTTCCCAATGTATTTTGTAATGTAGGCCTATTGACAGCCTTAAATATAGGCTAATGTTGTTATAGGCCTATCGCAGGTGTTTGTTTTGAAGCCATTCTCTCGAGACAACCGATCCAGAGGTATTCAAGTGCAGACTCAGAGATATGATGACGTTTTTGGGAGCATGTTAATCCCTTGGAGGCGTTAATGGCTCGCGGCAGCAGATGGACGGTGATCACTCTCCTGTGGATCACCGTCTCCCTCGGCATTACACACACTGACTAAAAACCCCATGTTTTTTTGCCCAAAATTCCCGGGCGCCTGGTGTGGCACAACAACTCGGTAACTGACCTTCCTACTACTCTACACTTTTGTTGTTAATATGGTCATTGTTTACACACTTTTAGCTCAGAGCCTCATGCTGCTAACGAACAGTAGTTTCATCACTGTGAATATTTGAACCTACAGAAATAATGACACACTAATTCAATATTCTTGCTCTAGAGTGTTTTACAGATTGTCAACAGATACTGTACATATAAACAAGTGCATATTTCGTCAAACTGGAGTGTACAGAAGTATACCTTATCTATGTTTTTGTAAATACTTTGTTTCTTTATTGTGCTAAAGATAGATATTCTATTTGATATTTTTAAAGTATAGAGTTGTGGTGTACTTAATATTCACTTATCTTGTGTTGTGTGCTCCTCAGGAATAACTGAAGCAGGATCTGTTTTATATACTTTGCATAACCCCCGCTCTAAATGTCAAAGTTTGGACTGTTGCATGTTCTGCTCTTTCCTGAATACAGATGTAGCTGGTAAACTCCATTATACCCCGATTTGCTCTGACCCTGGGTGTACGTGCAGTGACTTTTGAAGACTTATTTTGAAAGAGCCAAGTTTGTGTTGATTCTTTCATTTGACACGTTCCCGTTTTCCCAAAGGGTGAAAAGCTGACACGGGTCCAAACAACTTGCAGAGCTTTCCCACTAGAGTCCCGGCTTGAATACCAGGTCTGCAGTATGAAAACACCTACTGTTTTACGTCAAAAACTCACATCAGGGGACACAATACAGGTTTAGTAATGAAGGTGAAGGCAGCGGTGCCAAAGAAAATAAAAACAACCATTCCTAAAATAAAACAGAGATTGTATTGTGTTTCATCCTAAATGAAAAGGGCATTCTGGGAGGCAGAGTCTCACTACATTTTTGATTAATTGTTATAACATTTTAGCTGAATAATAGTAACAAAACAACAAACATCTGCTGCAAAAGGTGAAACTGATTATATATGTCAGGCAGCCGCAGCCACAGTTTATACAATAATACTAGAACAATGCTTTAAAATTGTTTTATTGCCTTTTCAAATAGAAATTCAGGGAAAATAAATCAATGTCATGGTTACTCTTGATTCAGTTTGAACTTAAATCTAAAGAGACTTCCCCAATAAAACAAAGGACCATATAAGGACTTTTTATGAGCATTTAACTCTTTCATGTTTTTATTGTTATATGATGTACTTTATTTTGTTATATCCTTTTGCTTGTTTGCTGTATTGAATTTTAATCTGTAGCAATTTTAGGTTTCATGTGAATGTAGGGTATTACTATTATTATTATTACTATTATTCATATTGCTATTATTATCAATGGCAGTATAAAATGTATTGTTTTCATTATTATTATCATTATTATGAGGATTGGCAGCATAACGGTGGACCTGGTTATTGAGACACCAGCTTTGGGCATTATTAATGAAGAACACAGGCCATCCACTGACAACACAAACTACACTCTCGTCTAATCTACTACAGGTGTAATCCTTTATTGCAAAGACACGCACGAGTGAACCTAGTCCTTTATGAGATGTTTGCCGCAGGATCCCGTGTCAGATTCAACATACATCATGATCCAACTACATGAGACGTCCTGTCAGAGTAGAGACGGTCAGTATGAGGGAGTATTTAGAGAATATAACAGGGCGGACATATCAGAAAAGCCCACGTCACAACCCACTAAAAAGCACCCAGTGCCCGCTCTGCACTGCGGGGAACATGAGGTGTTTTAAGACACTACTGACCTGTTGTGGACAAGCTTTGTAAATAAAACAATAAATTACTAAGATTGAAACATTCACTCAGTTTAACATGCTTACCTTAACTGTTATCTCCTATATGACTCATTTACTGAACTATTTTGATAATAAATGAGTATCCTATAGCTAGCTATAAGTTCATAAAACGCTCTGAAAACAGCCCAACTCCATAGCAAAAATACATACATTGGCCTCATGGCTGCATAGGCTCCGGTCCACGTTCTGTAGCTTAGGTCCTGGATCTATAGCCCGTCCGTCCGTGTGGAGCGGATCCCTTTCTCAATATGTGGGTCTCCCTGAGGTTTCTCAGTTTTTCCTTGCCACTGTAGGAGGGTCTGTTGGGCAGTTAGTGTCCAACAAAAAGGATGTGGTGATGATCCAGGACACTTTAACATTCTACGACATGTATGGACATTTTTTATTTTTATTTTTTTAACATGTGTTCTTTATTCTTTTTGTGTCTTAACTGTTGATTCTTTGATCTGTGTTAGTGATTTCAATGGTTTTGTAAAGTCCTCTGAGATGACTTCTGTTGTGATTTAGGGCTATACAAGAATAAATTGTATTGTATTGTATTATGTATTGTATTGGCCACAGGAGTCAAAGACATAATTCTGCAATTACGTTAAATTAAAGCTTGCCATTAAATACCTCCCAGCTTTGGCTTAACTAACAGTGTTAGTAACACTGCCATTTTGACATTAGTATATATAAAATATATATATATATATATAATATAAATATAATATATACTTATAGATGCAGCATGGACCGTCTATTTCGGCCGGCTTAACTTTCACTACTCTGATGATGAGATTAAACGGTGTCTGATGCCAAACAACAATGGAAGCCCACAGAGCTGATTACCGTCATTGCATCATGAATTATGCAAGATCAAGCATGCTCGATTCACCTCAGCCAAAGAGGATTTGAGACAAACACAAACCTGCATCAAAGTGCTCACAACATGTGCGGTAATATGTGGGGGTTTCCGTTTGTGTGTGTGTGTACCTTTCTTAGTGATGATGATGCGCAGCAGTGGGTTGGCCGAGGAGACTGCCTTCTGAAAGTTGTCATCGTTGTTGATTGGCAGGAGGTCTCCGTGCACATCAGCATAGCCCAGTATCACGTCTACTCCTGGGATGCGGTGAATGGTCTGGAGCAGGCGGTAGAACTCCTGAAAGCCTCCAGGCCCGTCCCTCTTCAGGGCAAACCTCCGATATTCAGCATCAAACTATCATTTGGACAAAAAGATAGTCACTAAAACTATACAAAACTGTTAAACGTAAAATACTTCTGGCATGTATTAAGCCGCAACATTAACGGGTGTTGTAATTTTTGAGTGGACTTGCTGTTCACACCTATTGGGAGATGTTTGTTTATTTTTACAGAATTGTAAAAATATCATCATACATTTTTACTCCGATATGAGAAGAGACTGACTAAGCCAATCTAAGCAACAGTATAGCTAGCTGCACCTGTTTAAAGAAGATTTGAATTATATTTTGAACATGAACATTAGCTGAATTGTGCCATTGTTGTGTATGGGGGATGGAACCATAGTCCATTGCACATGTTTGACAGTCAGTGAGCTGCATTAATACATCAGCCTGTGGCCATTAACATCTGTGCGTGCCGTGCCCATCACAATGGTAGAACTAAAGCCACATCCCACAAAGTACTCTGAGAAAATGGTTGTTGGAAAAACATGTAGAGGGACTAATAACTGACTCTAACTTTTTTAATGAATCATTCAAATGTGATAATTGTAATTGGACTGTACATCTTCCAACTCAGATAAAGCCAGGTACATTGTAAGTTAAACAGCAGCTTATAAGCCTATATAACAATTTCATTTAAAATATAATATGGCTCAATGCTACAATGTTCTCTCTTGTTTGGTATCAGTGTTTATAAAATGTAATTTTAAGACTTTTAACACTCAGCTATTAAAATGCTAGTTAGTGATGTAATGCCCACTGTTGTTACAGAGGCTGATCTTGAGGACCCTCCAAAACAAGATAATAACTATCGAGGCTTAAAAAGAAATGTCACATATTCATATTCATAACTAAGTCCATTGTAAACCGTAAATCATCTTTACAATCATGTCTATAGCCTCACAGCCTGTAGATGTAGATGTATGGTTACTGTCTCATGATTAAATACAGTGTTCCAGGCTGCATCAAAGCTGAGAGCTGTGTGTTTGGCAGAGGCTCTGGCTACAGCACCATGCAAACACCAAGCAGATACACACAACAATAACAGGTTAGCAGATACACAACAATCAGAGGTTAGCAGACACACAATAACAGGTTAGCAGAGACACAACAATCAGAGGTTAGCAGACACACAACAATCAGAGTTTAGCAGACACACAACAATCAGAGGTTTGCAGATACACAACAATCAGAGGTTAGCAGACAAACACAACAATCAGAGGTTTGCAGATACACAACAATCAGAGGTTAGCAGACACACAACAATCAGAGGTTAGCAGACAAACACAACAATCAGAGGTTAGCAGATACACAACAATCAGAGGTTAGCAGACACACAACAATCAGAGGTTAGCAGACACACAACAATCAGAGGTTAGCAGACACACAACAATCAGAGGTTAGCGGAGCATCTATGCAGTGCTGTCTCCCCGCTGTGGGGCTCAGGGCTCAGGGGCTCAGGGGCTCTGGGCTGTAGCGTTAGCTCTCTCGCTCCATAATAACAGAGGCAGTGCGGAGGATAATTGAAGGCTACAACAGAACAAACACGGGACACAGGACGCACTCACTTTGCTCTTGACCTCCACCAGGCTGTCGTGGACGCGGATGGGCGCTCGCAGCGGCGGAGGCTGCTGCTGCTGTCTGGACATGGTGCTCCGAGCCGCTGGGCTCCGACACTGCGTAAAAAAGAGCCACACAGGGAGAACTGTGACCGCAGTCCACACCTCCAGCCGCGGCCACAGCTCAACAGTCGAACAGAGACACGGCGCGGCGGGGAATGACACAGGCTATATCCAGCGAGCCTCACACATCCAGGTGCAGCTCTGCTTCTGCTCTGTCAGCGCGACTGGGCCACTGCGCATGCGCACGGTCTGAGTCCGCGACAGGTGGAGATGTCCGGTCAGTCCAGTCCGACTGCCTCTGAGTCTGCACCGTCACTATTTCATTATTATTATTATACTCAAGAACTGATACTGGAGTGTGGGCTGGAGGCATGAAGACATGACGTCTGGAGTGACACTCATTATGATGGCATGAGGATAAAAAGAGGAACTGAAATCATGTCAAGCCAACCAGCCATTCCAATGTTATCAAAGGTTTCACTGTGCCATAAAGATGTATATGGATATGTGACTTTATAACATATACATGATACAAAGGAAAATATTGGTACAGAAATATAGATAAAAACGCTTTTATAAGAATAAAGTGCATTGTTCATTCAAAAATAAATGACATGGGGAGAGCACCTTTTGGATAAATATTTACAATCAATTATTAATTGAATTAAATTTTATATGGAAAGTGTAATTTTGGCCCCTGTGTGTTTTTCCTGTCAGTCTGATCCAAAGTGATACTTGATGAGGTAACCAGCCCACCCTATAGTTTCTCTCTGTTCTCATCAGTACTGTACCAGCCAGTCCCGGGACTGTGTGTGAGAGAGAGATTCCTGCTTATGTAAAGGGTCCCATTACCAAAAACATGTAATCCTCCCAGATAAGAATACATTCCACTGGAAGGAAAACACCAAACTGAGAATGGCCTTCAGATGACTTCAAATTCTTTCTTAACTTTCTATCACTCAAATTTTCTCAGAAGAAACTTATGTTTAATTGATTCATCATGATTAATTCCTACAACAGTAAAAATAGAGTGTTGATTATAAAATGAAAGAACTATGCATCGTGTCCAGGTTATACCCCAAAGATTGGTAAAATGAAAGAAATGTCATCTTCCAAATCTCTTACTTTTCAAATGTATCCTCAAGATAATGCATTTGTGTGGTCAACTCTGCCGATGCTTTTAAAAAGGGACTAAAGACACTTCTTTTTAGGGCAGCTTTTAGTCAATTTCTTGTTTATATGTTGTTATTTTCTATTTTTTCTTATTTATCTGCTTTTACCTTGTACAGCACTTTGTGATTTTTATCTGTGAAAGGTGGTCTATACATTTTTTTTTACTTACTTACTTTACTTACTTCACATTTTTAGAGCTTGTGTCTGCAAGGTACTCAAAGCTTTTACATCATGGAACCACTCGTTCATATGTTCATCAGAGCACATACACAATGCAATGCAGGTTAGGTGTCTTGCCCAAGAACACAACAGCATCAGTGGGACCCAGAATCACACCTGCCTCACCTGTTTATAAATGGAGCAGGAGTCATTGCCAACCTTCAGATGTAACACACTGAATAATTGATGGGAGCAAAACTGCAAACGAGTCTCCACATAACACACTAAATCGGCTCTTTCATGAACACATTTAGATTTAGATTTGGAGATGAGGCATGCTCAGTTTTTACCTAAATGTTTTCAATAATTCTGTAGATTACAGTCGTGCAATTCACTTTGAAGGTGATTGTATTTTTCCACCATATGTAATAAGAAGACATATATACAAGATATACAGTATACCTACATGTGCTTATACATATACAACAAATAATCATCAATATTATGAAAGAACAACAAACTGCGTTCTGTCAGAGTCTGTAGCATAAAACAGAGGATAATCTTTTATGGACAGTGTTTTACCAGTTAACCTATGGACCAATGACTCAAGTTATTCTATATTGTTGTATTTCTTAAGTGTTTTAATTGCTGGATATTCTAATCTGCAGTTGGAAAATAGACAAATCAAATGCATTCAATTGATTTTATGATGAAGACAAAAATATAAAATGTATAGCAGAATCAGGATTAAACCAGATCTAATGTTGATGATTTTTGATGAATTGCCTGAGACCTATTTCACCTGCAGCCTCCAGCAGCAGCCCAGCCCACACACTCCATATATGGGCATAATAGTGTGAGAGACATGACAGGAACGATGGGAGAACTCACAGGGGAAGTGTCTCAATGAACAAGAATGTCAGCTATGTAAAACATCCCAGGTGATTTGTTATGCTTCCATTTAATATATTCGTATTGGCCCTTTATTAATGCTCCTTGTAACTAAATCAAGTCCCAAGCATCAGAACAGAAAAGGGAGACATTTCTTTTCAATACTGCTCTCCTAAAGAATTCTTACAGAAAATGATTCAATTCCATGATCATGAAACTGTTATAGTCGATCGATTTCACAGTGACATTTGTTTACTGTTTTATTTGTTTTATTTTTGTCTTTTAATGTTGTTTTATGTCTGTATTTGCCTGTGCACACTGGAGACTTTTGCTAATGTATTCCAATGTGGGTTTTTTTTTACTGCAAATGGCAAATAAACTGAATCTGAATCTGAAACATGTATCTTTTCACAATCGAAAGTAACATTTACAAATGTTTTTGGGTCCACTTGAGCAGGGATGAACTTTTGCCCTGTATTGTGGCCAGTGTGGGTACAGTTGTATATGCTATGATAAGTCTCAAATCTCATCTCAAATAGCTCGGTGAAGCGGTCTTTATTTAGTGGCATGAGTCACTAGCCAGGATTTCTGTGCAAGGTGCGATAGACTGAGCAGCCTATGTATGTGTACAATGCCTGGTATTTTTGGCCTCTAGTCATGGAGTCCTTTCATGTGTCTGGGTGTGACAGATGCGCAGGCTGAACAACAGGTTTGGATATCTGTCAAGGTTTGCTCACCGATTTTTTCCATGTTTCTGTCCCTGATCTAACAATACAGGGCGGCTACAGTCACCCACATGACAGACGAGTGAAGCAGCTCAGGCCGCATGCGCTCTGCATTGTCAAGGGAAAATGTTAAAGGTTTAACCCTCTCAGGGCCATTAGAATGACAGGAAAATCTGATCTTTGGGGAAAAAAAAGAAATGAAAATGTTGCAAATCTGCAACAGAGAGGGTTTATAACAAAGATAGATAGGTAAGTAGAAAAAGGAAACACTTGAATAACAAAAAAAACACAAATAATAATATATATATATATATATATATATATATATATATATATATATATATATATATATATATATATATATATATATATATATATATATATATATATATATATATATATATATATATATATATATATATATATATATATATATATATATATATATATTACATATTAGCACTAGAACTCCCAGAGCAGTCAATTTGACGGCTTGTAGTTTTGAAAGCGTAATTATTGGGCATGTGTATGTTACGACCCAGCTCAGCTAGGGTATGGGAGGTAACAAAAGAAACCAAGATGTTAAATGGAAAAGCAAGTATTTAATAACACGGATGTAAATGATAAGGATACATAAATCAAAAGTACACAATACAGGACATAACGGGGTAACTCAACGCTACCAAAATAAAACCTACACTAAACACTAAACACTAATACAATAATACACGTAGAACTAAACAGTAATCCACATAGAACAAAACACTAAACTGACTGTTGTCTCAACCAATGGGAAGTGTCACAGAAACAAAACCTCAAAGTGACAGCAGAAACAAGACAAACCAAATAAAAACAATAATGACCATAAGGATTGTCTTTAAGTCATTGTCACCACTTGTGACAATGGTCTTTTGGTCAAATGACATTTTTGGTCTTCATAACTTTGTGACTTTTCTGTATCTATATAGTATATTTTTATGTCTTTATTTTCGTGACATAATATTTTACTTTTGAAATGTATAGTTTCTCCAAAGTGAAATGACAGTTTTGTTTGTTGTGTTTCAGTTGTTCACCAGTTTATTGCACTAAAAGTGAGATAAGACCACTATAAACTCAGAATTCTATTGGTTTTAAGGGTGGCAGTCAGAAATACTGGCTCTGGGAGCTCTAGTAGTTTCAGAATTCTGAGAGTTCTAGTGTTAATATAAAAGCGGGTTTAGCAGGATTTGAACACTACTACAGTTCGGCAAATTAAGTTATCAATTCAGAACAAAAAGATCCTGACACATTTCTATCTTAAATGTCATATTTCCAGGAGTGTTACGGTCTTATATTATCATTTTGATGAAGAACACATGATAAATGAGTGTAGGTAGTATCTCAATGTGGACGCTTGCGCAGTAAACACAACTGTGATTAGATATAGTTCAAGTTTAATGTCAGACTAGGGTACATTCTATGAAAAATAATCTCCATGGCGACAAGCAGATGTACCATTTATAACTATAACTATATCTCTTTCAAATTATGAAGTATTTTTTGTTTATTATTTCATTATTGTGTTTGAGCTTTCTAATCAGTACCGTACAAAGCAAGTACAGTAGAGTTGACTATAGTGCAACACTGACACCATGTGGCCGCAAAGGGAAGAGAAAGAAAATTATAATACATCAATGGTAGAGACAGAGGGAGGTCGAGGGAAGTGAAATATGACGCTATAAAGTTTCTTCTTGGTCTTCAGAACTCTGTATCTGAGCAGTGGATTCTTCTAATCTACAGCAATATAAATGTACAATTCAACCTTTTATTTTCTGTAACTTTTCTGAAACCACAGAATAGTTATAATGGGTGTATGACATGCCCATGAATGTGGAGTCATCAGGTCGAGAACTGTTGTATTAATAATGTAATCATTTGAATCATGATAAAAAAAGTGTTGTGATTCTCGCATCCACCACTAGAGGTCAGACTCGCACAAAAGACCACATCTGCGCAGATACAGTATTTGCACAATTTGCTAATTATTTGTCTCTGATTTATTTCCAAAGGTTTTTACTTTTGTCATGGTAATTAACATGATAATTAACCCCCAAAATAATCTATTGGAAGTTCCTCAACATATCATATGTTCCTCAACATGCCTGCAAGATAAAAAAAAAAAAAAAAACACCATTATTGGCATTTGTAAATATTCTGTTTGGCGAATATTTCTCTCTTCATCAAGGCCATAAACGATGTCTAAATATAGATCAAATAAGACACAAGTTGGTTCACTTTCACCTGTGTTTGGAAGTCACTCAATACATTAAATAGATAAGATGTACTCATTTTAAATAAGTATATTCAGGTCCTTAAAATATTTCTACTTCATTAAAGTCGAAGTAATCTAATCAGTCAGTGAGTCACAGACACTGGCAACACAGAGAAGACACCAACAGTTTCCTCTGATCATTTTCAAAATACCATACCACATTTTGACATTGTTTGCTTTTGTTGAGAGAAACCACAGAATTACATCAGTAGGTTCTCAAATATTCTGCATTTGAAAACCAAAAACTAGATCAGGAGGTCTTTTTTGTTTATTCTATGCAGAGATTCTTAAATATTGGACGTTAGGCAGTTTTGTGAGTAGTGTAGTGACTTGACCAGTGATTCAATAACAACATTTACTCACACACTGCGCAGAAAATGTGTCGTGCTTTAAAGTCCACGTTGTGTGCTTTTATTTTGAAGCCACAGACGCTGCTTTCTCCTCAGTGTGGAGCAGAGTATTGACAGAGGAGCCAAGTGAAGCGGAGGATTGTGGAGTAACTCACCTCAGTGGGCAGCATCCCTCACCTGACATCAGGGACCAGCAGGCAGCAGCAGGCATCAGCCCAGAGCACAGCAGCAGCAGCAGCAGCAGGTAAACACAATTATATTCTCATTTCGAAACTTTGGATCAAATATTTAAGAAAGAATGACATGCTTTTACACACACAAACACACATCTCTCATAATTTTATTTTATTCATGTATTCAGATATTAATTCATACTACTATCCACCCCTTATCACTTACTCATGCACTTATTTCCATTCTAATAATTCATTTCTATTAGTAATGCCTTTGCTTGTTGTACACATGCAGCAGAGACTGACGCAAAGATTCAGATTCAGATTGTTTATTTGATTGTGTTAGACTGATGCAAACAGGGGCAAATAGACCAAAAGTGAATTTAGGAGCTCTCACCTGGGTCCAGGTCTTGCATAACTGTCTGTTTTAAAGCTTTGAAGACTCTTTGAAGGCTCCCGCTGACTGCTTTGTTGTTTGACACCACAATATGCAATGCAAGACTACTTTTGTGCATGTGTTTTGTCTAAATCTTTCTAAAATGTGTTGACAATGATTCATATACTGTATCTGTTAAAGCCTGTGTGATTCTTTTTTTAAAAGGGAATTTTGGCTGTAACCTTGGGTGTATTTGCAGTGCAGAAAATAATTATTCCTTATTGCCATTACTATTATTGTCTTATTGTCTTTCTTAATAAACATATCTCAGTGAATTCAATGCTTAGATCAAGCAGAAAATTAATGAAGTATAATTAAAAAAAGAAGAAAACATGTAATTTCACATATCAAAAGCCCCATCCCCATAACCTATTGTCGTGAGCGTGTGTGTACATATGTGTGTGTGTGTGTGTGAGTGCGTGCATTTTTTGTAAAGCGCGGTTCAATAGGCATGCCTCCAGTTTGCCAGTTTACCCTCAAGTGATTCACCAGTGCAGCACAAACAGTACGGTCCAAACGCGTTGACTCAGAGGTGCTTGTGTAATATAGACCAAAATGAATGCCCAACGCTGGAGTGATGGGAGATTTATTTTTTTTGCTGCTAAATTACTTTTTCCTTTTTGTGTCCACTGCAATTTATTAGCGGCATTCCTCCAGAGGGGAGTCCAGTCCAGTGTGTGTGACCTATGTGGGCGCTGGGAGATGGGGGCAGGGGCAGGCAGATGAGCAAATAGCAAAGCTGCTGGAGAAACTGTTAATTAGCTTTTCTGCTGCACCTCACAATCAACCTGGGACTTTTTTTTCTTTTTTCTTTCTTTTTTAACATGACTACATATGACCGATTAATCCTGGCAAAGCCCAAAAGATACAAGCTTTAATTATGTGTTCCTTATTTTCTTTTGTTAAAGAATCCACAGAGAGGGTGATGTCTTTTAGATGGAGTTTTCAGTGTTTAGTGTATTAAGATTGAAGATGAAGAGATAATTTATTATCGTCCCACATCGGGGGAATTCCAGTGTTGCATTACAAGATACAGAACAGTAATGAGGACCACACAGCACAGCAGATAAATGAATAGTTATTATTTATTTTATTATTATTTAGACTTTATTAAGGACTCAGATGCAAGTACAGGATCCATAGCTAAGAATAATGAAAGAAAAGTAAAAAACTCATACAGATAAAACTATAATAGATAAAATAAAATCTCTAACTCTAGCACACAAAAAAAAATCAGTAAACAATGTCTATTTTTAGCAGAATAAGGAAATAAGTCTTAAATCTCCAACTTTAGCATGATGAAGAAGCAACCCTGACTTTAGCTCAACTCATTGACTGCCGTGGACGTATTTGGCTGAGACTGGTGATTTCTGTCAAACTTCTCTCTATGCGACTGGAGATTATAACAGAACAAAACTAGCTAGACACCAACATATTTTTGCAGAAGAAAGTAGACGGTCCAATCTTTCAGAATTTGGTTTCATAATTTTCATAGTCACAACACACAATATTCTGTTGGTCTTGAAAGTCAGTGAAATCATAAAAAAACGTCTGGCAGTCAATGAGTTAATAAGGAGCAAAAAATACTGTATGTAGTTGGGTGTATACAATTGTACACGTGGTCCATATTGCACATTCTGACATTAGTTCAAGATATTGCACCGATGCATGACGTGTGTGGCGAGGTCGGCTGTGTTTGTTAATCCTCATTGTTCGTCGTACAGTGTGACAACAGCACGAAGGAGAGACCTGCAGAGCCTCTATTCTGTATTGGTAAAAGACGTTTTTTCACAGATTTACAAACAACAAAGCCGATGCTGAACAGAAATAGTTTGGTATATTTGAGAGATCCTCTTTTTTATTTCCTCAGGGGGAGGTTTGTGTTTAATGAAAAATGTGCAACCAGAGACGTCAACTCCTTCCCGAACCCAAACACGAAAGACACTGATGTAGGAGGACTTTTTCTCCCACTTAATGTCAAACAAAGCTTTTGGCATTTGTACAAAACAAGTTAGACAGGCCAGCTGTGTGTCCAAATAGGTAATATAGAGCCAATGATTGCATCTCTGCACAAAGCTTCACTGGAGAGAAAAGAGGACGTTGATTAAGATTAAGATTAAGATTAGGGGGTTCTTTTTTTGTCCCACTGTGGGGAAATTTCAGTGTTGCATCACCGGTTACAGAGCACACAGAACAAGATGAACAATAAATACATACTAAAATACAATAAAATAAAAACTCTAGCTTGAGCATAATGAATAAGCCAGATTTAAGTATAAAATCTCTAGCTTTAGCATTTTGAAGCAAGTATAAAATGGATTCAATGTGATGAGTAAAGCACGGTGTTGTGGGGGAGTTTTAGACTTGGTAAAATAATCTCAAATATCCTTTTTACTGCCGACTGACTAAGGCTGGGCAAAAATATAATTTGTTTTTAAAATGGAGTTGATAGGCCAAATGATTTCTTTTTTCAAGATTCATATTTAATATTTTTGTGTCAGATCTTATTTTTGTCCAATTTTATCCCCGCCATTATAAACATGTTACACCTATTTTTCGTATTATTTTGAAATATATGTTCTTTGTGTGTTTGTGGTCATAAAATACAAAAGAATACATATATACTATATTATATTTTATGGCCAAACAAATGATTGGTTATCCGAAGCAGTTTCCAAAGCGTGTTGGTAACATGGACTTCAGTGTGTGTTTTGAGCTTGTATTGTGTTCATCTGTTTGTATGGGCTCCTCTTCATATCACTTCATATCACTCAAGTTTTTTCCGAATGTATTCTATTTATTTATTGATGTTTCCTGTGTCATTGTTTGTGTTTTTAATGCTTTGTGCTGCTCAAATGAACAGCCCCTGGTGGGATAAATAAAATAGTTGGAATTTGAAAAGAAAATCCAAAGTGGTCGTTCCCCATTGTTGATGCACTTAAGATAAAAACCCAACAAAATCATATGTGTTTATTAAATTTTTTAAAGAAAATAGTAGTCAACATTCAACATTGTGCCTCGCCATTATCAGCGGGAAGATGAACGCTGCATAAATAAAGGATTTCTAACTATAGGGGACGTCATGATGCCTTTAACAAATATAGTTTTGTGCATGATTGGCCTTTTTGTGTCTGTGACTTTGCACAGTTACTGGGAGGCATCATTATGGTATAATGAAGCCATAAACCGTTGGCACATTTCGGTGTTTTGATTTCTGAAAAAATTATGTTAATATAGACTTAAGCTAGTTTGCTGTGTAGCGACCCCAGGAGAGCATCATTATGGCTGTTAGTCACAGTGCCTGCTCTGCATTACCAAACAAAACAGTTTTTTATTACCACACAAAAATGGATTAAGGCCTCACTTAAAATGGTTTCATATTTGATTTTCAGTCCTCAAGAAAAACAAGATCATTCATCATCTGTTATGAGCTCCTCCTCAATGTACTGTATACTGTCTCAGGTCCTCTGCTCGTTCTTTCACAAACAAGACACGATCAAAATACATAATAATAACAATAATAATAACAATAATAATAATAATAATAATACATTTTTATTTGTATAGCACTTTTTAAAAACAGTGTTTACAAAGAGCCGCACAATCAGAATAATAAAACAATTGTTAACAGTAGATACATGAAAACAAAGACAGAGGAAACACGAGAAGAAAGACAAAACAAGAACAAAGTGTGACAGTAACAGGGAACAGTCAAAAGCTGTTTGATAAAAGAAATGATTTAAAAGAGGATACGGATGATTAAAACAAGATCCAAGTTTTATGAGACTATTATGTGTGTGGATGTCATATGTCAAGGAGGAGTTCCCAAAACGTTCAGACCGGGACCCCTGAACTTGGCATCACACCCACTCACGGCCCTCACTGATGTTGTATACACTTTTGCAGACATTTTACAATTGTTCTGGAAATCGTCTTGCCACCCCCTCTAGCGTCCTGTGACCCCACTTTGTGAACCACTGGTCTTGGAAACGTGAGCAGTAGTCATTCACAGTCATCGTTTTTCCTCAAATAGAATGACATAAACGGACTGTTGACATGAGGCTTATTATATCACCATAACCATAACGCCCCATCATGTCTAGTGTACGGTAATATTGTGACTTATATCCTTGTTGCGTTTCTTATTAATAAGAGGCTTCATTTTCTCGTTGCAGGTGGCGCTGGGGGCAGTTTAAGTGCAAATGGAGTGAGCAGCATAATTGCTTTCAGTGACCTATTATTGTTTCTCTCCACATTAACCACCGGGAGAACAGTATTGATGACATGAAAGAGGAGAATTACACACTTTGTCTCCAACAAACCACCCTTTAGACCTGGTAAATTACCCCTGGCCAAATGAAAGAGGTGGAATAGCTTATGTAGAATTAAAAAAACTTTATTTGACTTTTTTTAATGCTTCTGCAACATTATTATTAAGCTCCACTCTTTTAATAACAGACAAGAACCATGATTTGTTCCATAAGATACATATCCTGATGAAGAAATATTGGAATATAAAAATGTCACTCATTAAGTAATCATAATATAAGAAAAGAAAAAACCTTTGTTCGTCCCTCAGTGGAGACATTTGAATTAAAAGTGTTCATTATGGTATAAAAGAAACATTTTTAAAAGTCAATTATTATTAGTTTTATTAACATATGACTTTTTACTGCTGTGAAAACTACCATCTTCCAAATTATTGCAAACAAGAAACATTCATGACTAAGATTGAGACCAAAAATGCATTGTACCATGTTTGATTTATTATAATAGTAGGATTTAACACACAAAGCGATCATTCTCCTTGAGTTGGGGTATAATGTGATGTCGTTATGAGTGACAACGCGGACACCCCGACCAACATCTCCCTGAGCCCCAGCGTGGGCGAGTCGGTCCAGTACCAGACCGTGTCCGTGTTCCTGGTGCTGCTGGTCTGTGGCGTGGGCATCGTGGGCAACATCATGGTGGTGATGGTGGTCTACACTACGCGCCACATGCGGACCCCCACCAACTGTTACCTGGTGAGCCTGGCCATAGCCGACCTGACGGTGCTGGTGGCGGCCGGACTGCCCAACGTGGCGGACAGCCTGACCGGGGCCTGGGTGTTCGGACACGCCGGCTGCCTGGGAATCACCTACCTGCAGTATCTGGGCATCAACGTGTCGTCCTGCTCCATCACGGCCTTCACTGTGGAGAGGTGCGTGTGTGTTTTGTGAGGTGTAGTCTGTGAAAAAGTGACAAATATAAGCCAAAATTAGGCATATGTTTGCTAGTTTTTGGAGTTTTTAACCCCTTGGTAGATCTCATTTTTAATCAATATATAAGCAAGCTTGGAACTGAAACAAACCTTTTTGGGGCACCACACTTGGTTTTAGGCACCCTCAAACTGCATGTCAACCATTTAGTAAAGGCCCATATTTAAAAAAAAAAACATAAATTATTTTTGTTGTTAAGTTTCCTACATCTTCATCAAAAAAATACATTGTTTACTTCAAGGAGTGAATGTTAAAGGGTTAAACCATGTGGCAACGTTATTCCCTCATCAGAAACAGACCTGGAGTTGTTTTGAGATCCATCCATGCTGTTATCAGTAATTTCTGGCTCAAACATGCAACTCTGCCCCTTCTGTGTCTCAGACCTGTACTAGTTTGATCAGGCTCTGAGCAGTTTTCAGCCTTTTCAAACAAGTATTGCCCACGAATGAGTTTTGTTAGTTTCTCAGGTGAAATGACATTCTTCACAAATACAGTACATGGCTGAGTTTGAAGCTGTTAGAAAAAAATAAATAAAAAATCAACTCCTTCCTCTGGTGTCTGGTGGTACCATAGAAGTCAAGGCAGATAGATTTGTTTTTCTTTTTTTTTTCTACCCTTAATACATCATATAGTTTTTGCTTTTTATATTTCACATTCTAAAACATAAGATGACAAAGTAAAGATTGTTAAAGGACAAAAATAATGTAATGTAATATAAATTAGCATTGGGATTATTATTATTATTTTGCTAGTTCTGTTTTGAATCTTGGATAATATTCAAAGAGCATGAGGAGAATTCTAAGAAAGAAAACCGAAACTGAACAAATGTTTGTAGTTGTGTTTCTTTTTTTTAACAAATTCTCAACAATTCTAAAATGTTAATAATCCCAGGCCGCTTAAAACTGAGACTAGACTTTATGAGCAGATAAAACAGTTAGAATGACACTCACAGAAATATTATTTAGATTATTTTTGACATTAGCATTGAAATTTGTATTTCTAATCCTGTTTCTGAGCTCCAAACAAAGGCAGAGGAAAACAAAAAAAAGAGGAGACACATTTTATAATATGCAACAAGATACACTCGCCTGACGGCAAAAGGATATAAACCCAAAACGCACAACGGCAAAACTGGATTTAATAAAATGTAATGCAGTACAAAATTACTCAAAAGTAACAAAACAGAGCCCGAGGACAAGAATTAAACCTGACGTGGGATGATAAAGACAGAACAGGGATGAAGGAACACACAGGGCTTAGGTACAAGACTAAGAGGCACAGGTGTTGCACATGAGGGCGGGGCAAGTAATTAGAAACAGGAAGTAGAACTAAGGATGATACAAAGTACAAAATGAAACAGGAAATAAACCTATTGACCAAATGCATCGACGTCATCCAGTCACATGGTTGTGCATGAGCTTACGGCGGAAGTGGTGGAAACGTACCTTCTCCCCCTAGTCCATTTTATCGATTAAATGAAATGTCTAAAGTTCACCCCACATGATCTTTATCATTATGTCGTTAACAATGCATCCCCTCACACTGGAGCGGATTTAAATTAAAATGTTGCTGGTACCATTAGCACATTAGCAAAGCACTTTTCTGTCTACAGCCAAACATGATACTGTACATATTGACAGAGAACAAAAGAGTAAAAAATGCAACTGACGTCTAAGATAAGAGATTTTATTTGTGCCACAGTGAGGAAATTTCAATCTTGTAGCGCACATACAGCACAGTCATTGTCCTCCAAACAAATTGTGGAAAGAAAATACAAAATGGTGATTGATTTATCTTGTAAAAAGTGTTCACTGCAAATCTAGGAGCGCTTGGGTGGATCCCAGTCCTTTTGGTTGATTGCCGCCATTGTCGTCTTTTGTCTTCATGACGAGCAGGTATCAGATAAAAAGACACATTTGGCTATGTCCTTGCTATGGAGCTATTATTGTTTCAATAATATTGTGTGTGCGTAAACAGATTTGTGTGTGGCTGGGACGTCACATGCACGGGGGCACCATGAAAACGTTGTTTTTTTGTAAAGGAAATTATGTAATCTAATTAAATAATAATAATATACATAATAATAATAATAATGATAATAATAATAATAATAATATTTTAATAATTATTTTGATAATTATTTTTTATCAACCTGGCCCTCAACAGTTTTAAGTGGTGTGCAAACAGAGTGAATATGAAAAACAGGAGTTAGGAAATTGCTTAAGTGACATGAAATCTGTTGAATAATGTATTTTCGACCGTTATCGTGAATGTATTTGCACATTAATCAAAGCACTGACTTTATATTTAGTTTTTCTATCCAAAGTATCCACCAATTTCACTGATTTGCCTCTTACGTTTAATTGTTTCCGAGGTTGGCTACTAATTTGCTGCTCATCATTAAACGGAACACTCCGGAGTCCACTTAAATTAGCACCTTCACCTTTAGCTGTAACAATGACCACTTATATGAGCTTTCCACTCCCTGAGTTTTAAAGGTGCAGAACTTTCATTAAGAATCACAAAGACGAAGAGCAGCGACCATAGGCTTCATTCTTTGAAATAATCGACACCATTGTTAAAGTCACAATGAATTTATCTGTGTTTTCTGGAAAGCTCAATAAAGGAGCATTTTTGAACAAATGGCCACTGGCCACGGAATTTGTCAAAAGTGACTCATTTACAGAGATAGTGTGGAACGTGACTGCAGCTGTTCACACGCAGCCACATTTCCTTAACCCGAAGGAAACCCTCTTTCACAAAGTTAGTGGTTTTGTGAAGAAAGTGATGTATTGGTAAAATAAACAGGTTTCTATACCATTTCAAACGATAACACAATGCAGGCCTGTCCAAACTCAGGCCAGAGGGCCGAATGCGGGCTGTGTGATTCTATGTGGCCCTATGCTCTGCTAACCCAAAATACCATTGAGATTTTAAACCCAAGTTCATTGCGTCATCCAGCCAACTTCCGCTTCTCCAATACAAGCATGTTATATCTCGTTGTAAAGCTCAAAACATTTTGAATCAATTTCTTTGCATCCACTCACATTTGTTTTTCCTTATGGCACAAAAATAGGTCCATGACACTGATGTAGCGATTTTAGCATCTCAAAATAGACCAATTCTTGTTAAAATAGCTTTACAGTCCGTATTATCAGCCCCTGGACAAGTCTGTCGCACTGAAGTGGCCCTCTTAGTTAAACGTTTGGACACTCCTGACATAATGGAACCTCTCTGGGGAGGTTAACTGGATTCTTTTTGACAAAAATGTGCAGCTTTACCATCAGAGAGGCAACACAATACCACGGCAGACTCCAGACCGTCAGAGATCTTAAAGGGGAAATACATATATACTGTTGAGAACTGGGGTCTTTGGAATTATCACGTCTATTTGACAATACATTTTATTGCACCAGTACTAACAATGTTTGTGTTATCAAAAGCCTCAAAACAAATCTGCCTGGCGGTTTTGTATTTTGTTTTGTACATCAAACATTAATTATCAAACTTCACTACATAGAACTTTCCAGCAAATTAGTAATTTACAAGTATCCATTACAATATTGTACACTGTATAAACTTGAAAAGGAGTGGGAGGAAGTTAGTTAGTTATTTATTTGAAAGGACAACGGACAGGTACATTAAAAAAATGGCTGCCCCAGATTTAGCACAATGCTAATTGCCATCTGTAGTCCTTATACAATCAAAAATACAATTAAAATACATAGCAGAGTTAATTAAAATACAAAACATAGACAATAAACATGCAATATATAGTAAAAGTGCAGATGAAAAGTGCCAGTTGCATTCATAAAGTGCAGAATGACAAAGTGCAACAGTTTTCATAATTATTTTGTAGCTATACATAATTAGCACATAGATACAATAGTTTTTAACACTAATAATGTGGTGATGTGGTGGCCATCAGACAAGAACAACACTTATAACTGTGACCTTTAAATAACAGTGCACTGAGATAAATTTCAAACACATTCATTTTAAGATAATGTTACCTTACTAAACTTTCAATATTTGATATATTTTATTGAATGTTTCATATTTTGCATGTTCAAGGCTTTTTCATGCCCACACCTACAGAACAGTATCTGACATTTAAGCCCGGAACATGCTCCCCGTGGGCTGGAGGCTCATTTCTGTCATGTTACGCGCTGAGGTGGATTACTGCACCGTTGTCCCTGAGCAGAGAGTTTAAGGGCCTATGCACAAAAAAGCAAAACTCTATTCAAACTGAAATAATGGAATGGCCCTGAAAAATGTGATTACAAACAGATGAAAGAACGGTTTTAACGTGAGTCACCTCATAACGTGAAGTGGGAAGAACAACAGCAGAATGTCAGGGTTAAAGAATGATTGAGAAGTTTTAATTCAGATTCAGAAAATTGATCTATGAAGGTTTTTGCCTTTATAAAAAAATATCATTTCAAATATCTCCACGTCGTGTTTCAAATGCCATGTATAATAATTTAGAATACATGTTCACATTTTTGGAAGTTACAGTGTTTATGAAATTACCTTGAAAGAAAATTTGGTCCGTGAGGTCCCTAATCTTTTCTCATAAATAACATGTTTTCATCCCATCAGAAAGACTCTTGTAGGTGTCAAATGTGAGATAACCAAACCATAACCTGCTCTCTGACTAGAAAACATGTTTTCTTCTGCATACCTTTGGACACTTGGGGCTGAGAACTGATTGGCTGAGTGAGGGTGGTCCTCTCTTTTTCACTTTTATATCTGAAAAAGCTGATCTAAAGCTGTAAAGTGGCTAAAACAATACATGCAACTAGTGATAGAACCAAACAGTTTTGAGAGATTGGCACAAGTTATTTCATCACATAGTTAAGTTATTACTGGTTTGAAAGCGAGGAACCCCAGAGCTGCCTTGAAACTTAACATCTCTTTCTAATCTCTCTCTGGTCTCTCTCTGGTCTCTCTCTGGTCTCTCTCTGGTCTCTCTCTGGTCTCTCTCTGGTCTCACTCTGGTCTCTCTCTGGTCTCTCTCTGGTCTCTCTCTGGTCTCACTCTGGTCTCACTCTGGTCTCTCTCTGGTCTCTCTCTGGTCTCTCTCTGGTCTCTCTGATCTCTCTCTGGTCTCTCTCTGGTTTGTCTCTCTCTGGTCTCTCTCTGGTCTCTCTCTGGACTCTCTCTGGTCTCTCTCTGGTCTCTCTCTGGTCTCTCTCTGGTCTCTCTCTGGACGCTCTCTGGTCTCTCTCTGGTCTCTCTCTGGTCTCTCTCTGGTCTCTCTCTGGACTCTCTCTGGTCTCTCTCTGGTCTCTCTCTGCTCCCTCCCTGGTCTCTCCATGGTCTCTCTCTGGTCTCTCTCTGGTCTCTCTCTGGACTCTCTCTGGACTCTCTCTGGACTCTCTCTGGTCTCTCTCTGGTCTCTCTCTGGTCTCTCTCTGGACTCTCTCTGGACTCTCTCTGGTCTCTCTCTGCTCCCTCCCTGGTCTCTCCATGGTCTCTCCATGGTCCCTCTCTGGTCTCTCTCTGGTCTTTCTCTGGTCCCTCTCTGGTCCCTCTCTGGTCTCTCTCTGGTCCCTCTCTGGTCTCTCTGGTTTCTCTCTGGTCTCTCTCTGCTCCCTCCCCGGTCTCTCCATGGTCTCTCCATGGTCTCTCTCTGGTCTCTCTCTGGTCTTTCTCTGGTCCCTCTCTGGTCCCTCTCTGGTCTCTCTCTGGTCTCTCTCTGGTCTCTCTGGTCTCTCTCTGGTCCCTCTCTGGTCTCTCTGGTTTCTCTCTGGTCTCTCTCTGGTCTCTCTCTGTTCCCTCTAGGGTCTCTCCATGGTCTCTCTCTGGTATCTCTCTGGTCTCTCTCTCTGGTCAGGGAAGCTAATCTCATTAAGGCAAAGCTATATGTTTGATCTATTCATTATTCTGTTTAAAATGTTGATTATTCTAAAATCAAGGATGTGCAAATGCAGTTAGTTTTGTGTGCATTTGTGTCACTTATTTTTTTTATTGTATTGTGAAAAGTTTGACTGTCATTCAGTTTTGGGGGTGGAGGTGCTCATAAGCTTTTTACTTCAGCCCACTCCTTTTGTGCAGTATTAATTCTGTTGAAATAAATAAAATAAATAAAATAAATAAAATAAATAAAATAAATACAATAAAATAAAAATAAAAAAGATCAATTAAAATATAACTATAAAAAGCACTCTGAGTTGACCAACACATCATTGCTCATATATGTGTCTCTTCCTCTGCAGGTACATTGCTATCTGCCATCCCATAAAGGCTCAAACCGTCTGCACAGTCTCCAGAGCCAAGAAGATCATCGCAGGCGTGTGGGTCTTCACCTGCGTGTACTGCATGCTGTGGTTCTTCCTGGTGGACATTCAGGTCAGGACATGGTGTTGGTGCTGGTGGTGAAAAACGCAAATGTCAAATGTGATCATGAGTTTTCTAACGGCGCCTTTGTTGACGCGCAGGTGGGCTCGGACGGACACGTGTTCTGTGGCTACAGGGTGAAGCGTGACCTCTATTTGCCCATCTACCACATCGACTTTGCCATTTTCTACGTCATCCCTTTGCTCCTGGCTATTGTGCTTTACGGTCTGATTGCACGCATCCTCTTCCTCAGGTACGTGCAGCTGGAGAGAGAGGACTTTGCACGTGACACTGAGAGGCATTTCAAAACATAGACCTAAACTATTCACCATTAAGTATGTTTCTTACACTTACACATATTTTTAACAGTTTCTTTCTTACTTGCAAAAAACTTTGAAACCTTGAAGTATTTTTAGTTTTAAACATTTTTTTTCATGTGCATTTAGACACAAACTTCAGCTTCTATCCCTCTGCAGGTGAAACTTGGATAATTAGAGTATAGTTCAAAAGTCCATTTACTTCAGTAATTCAATTTACAATGTGAAACTATTTATGTTATAATGTTAATCACAGAACTTGTAAAAACCCCAAATAAAACCTATTAGACGACTTGAATATTTGAAAATGAACTGAATTCATAAAAAAATGAACAAATAAAGTCTTGGCATATGTCACTCTGAATGTAATGAGTCTACAGTATATCATTTATTGGTTTCATACTTTAAGTTGATTTGTAGAAATAAATCAACTTTTGAACAATATTCTTGTTTTCTGATTATCACTATAGTTGACCAGTGTCACACAGTTACAAAAATGCTGTGAGGATTTATATGATCATATAATCGATGGCCTTGGTCAGATCAACATAATTTACTATGGGATTATAATTAGAATTGTGTCTGCAACATTTCCTGATAAGACATTCATCCCACATTCATAGAAGTGCTTTGTCAGGGTCAGTAGTTTGTCTGAAGCCCTGCGCTCCCTGTGGTCCTTGTGCTCCTTGTGCTGAGAGCGTACAATTGACATCACCAACCAGGCAAACAGCGGCATGTGGAGGAGATGTGTAAACAGAAGGCACATGCCTGGAATGTGTATATGGGATGCAATCTAAAGGTAAACACCCAGGGAACCAGTCGGCCTTTCTATTTATAACGTTATTCTGCAAGTAACAAAGAACTTGACTTAGTAGCTAAGTAGCAAGAGTAACTGACTCTAACTATTTGGCTATTCTACTTACCTAAAAGCATTGATTTCCATGATCTAGTTTCCAGTTAGCTTGTTTGGGTTGCTAATATTGGATATTTTGATTAGAAAAACATGATTCTCCATAGAGCCGAACGTGCTGAGCCAGTGCGTGTCTGAGTCATAAGGTTGGACTAACTAACGTCGCCCCTATAGTTTGCTCAATGCAGCAGAAGCCAATTAGCGCTATCTCAAACAGGCTCCAAGAGCGAGAATCTGGAGCCAAATGACGTAGGTAACAACGACCTGGCAACCAAAGAGCCTATCGGGAGTAGCACTGTGATCATATGAGCAGCGATCTCCAACCTTTTTTGTGCCATGGACCGGTTTAACGGCAGACAAACATAGCACGGACTGGCACCCAAATGCACTCCCCTTCCCGTTAACTCAACAGGAGGCCCATCGCTGTGGTTTGTACATAAGAGCGTGACGCACACGTGCACAATGTGTAACACACGGAGAGTATTGAGAATGTGGCTGAAAGCGCAGCACAGATTCTGATCTGGTTCTGATCGTTAATGAGGGATAAAGTTTCAAAACGTATCCAGTCTACAAGCATAACATTTGCAAAACTCGCAGGCAGGATGTGGTGCTGCGGTCCTGGGTCCTGGGTCCTCTGGTCATCGTGGTTTCAGCTTAAATCCATTTCTTGTCTCTTCAGAAGGCGCGTGCACCAGAACATTTCTGTTTATATTTCAGTGTTATCATATCACGTGACCAAGATGTAAGGAGAGAATCCGGTCATATTTCAGAATAAAGGATTATTTGGATTCTAAGTACAGAATTGATTTATCCTTTCCTTTCCTTAAATAAAGCACATCTTATCTTGACGGCCTGGTTTCAATCGGTTGCGGACCACTGAAACAACTGAAACCATGGATTTTGAAGCCCAAAATGGTGAATGGCACACAAACTGTTAAAGACGTTTAAAAGTTTCGAATGAAGCTAAAGTGAGTTGGTGTTAAACTTGAGAACTTCCCTATTGGCTTCATCGAGCTAGTGGGTTAGCATTGTCTATATTCTGTCTAAAGACTCAGAGGTACAGTAACTCCGTAAGTCACGTGCCATTTGTCCATTTGTGTTCCAGTCCCCTGCCCAACGCGCCTGAATCCAGTGCCACCACCTTGCGCCGCAGCTGCAGAGAGGGCCCCGACAGCAGTGGAGGGAAAGGGGGCCGCCCAATCCGCTCCGGACCCTCTTCCAGGAAACAGGTCAGTGCCTCTGGCCACATTTAGCCTGTGTGTGCCCAGACATCTCCCTGCAGCTGCTCTTATCTCCCCAATACCAGCTTGGTATCAGCCCTCTTGACCCGTGTCTTATGTGAGTGTAGAGGTCTCTATCTCGCCCTGATGATGTCCCACTATCCAGGACTTCAGTAAAGTGGCTCTTGGTGGCTGTGCGTTCCCCCTATAACAAGCCCGGAGGTAATTGGGTTTGTAATGGCTTCTTTGAACAAGGCCTTTTTCTTGAATGGTACTTCTTGGCGGAGATTGCTCTAGGCTCTTGAGTCCACAATACACTTTTCTCGTCAAATGTTTATTTTCATAGGCATAACCACTTAGCACTGTGTTTCCAAACGGACATGGGATGGTAATGACTGTCGCGTCGAGGTGCAAATGCTCAGAGATGTTTGCAGTCAGTTGTTGCCTCAGCACTTTGCATCTGGTTGTTTTTCAGTTGACACAAAACCAGATGGGCAACTTTCTTTGCCTGTATTCTGCTCACAAAAAAATAAAGTAGCTGCTCTCTCTCTCATTTTGCAAAATTAGTTTTTTCGATTTTGACTGAAACAATCAATAAACTCCCCCTTGGGTCCATCAAGGCCTATAAAGGCAAATAACACAATTCTAACAGACAAGATAGCTGTATATTGAACCCACTATGCTTTTTCAAACTTAGAGAATAAAAGCATGGGACTGAGCACAGCAGTGAAAGCTTAATGGTTTTAAACCATCATAAGAGCAAATGTAAGAGCTCAATGCAGCGCTCTGAGCAGAGACCCCCAGACCTCCCTTTGCACGCATCTATCCCTTTTCAGATGTTGAAATACATAGTTTTGGTTTTTTTTAAACATTTGGCCATAATGCTATCTAATACTAACACATTCATTTGAGAAAAAAACGTGTTGTCTGTAATGATTATTATATGGATATATCTAATATAATTACTGTCAAGCAGACACCAGGAACCACTGTCAGATGTAAGTCATCTTTATTTATATAGCACACAGACCACAGACCACAGGTCACTACAATTTTGGTGTCCCGGTAAATATCCATTCACTCCACACACTGTGATGACAGAAGCGAGATGCAGACAAACCTGACCTCCGACCTTCGCCATCCCTTCACTCACTCATTATAGTCCCACCTATTTTACATGCTTTTAGTGTGTTGGAAAACTGGAAGACCTGGAAGAAACCTACACACACACACACACAGGGAAATCATGCAAACTCCACACAGAAAAGCCCAGTCTAGAGGTGGAATCGAACCCAGGACCCTCTTACTGTGAAGCACAAGCAGCAAATCCTGCATTAAACAAACCAGACCCAAATGTCATCCAATCAATGCAAAAAATGATAAAATAGGAGATGATGATTGCTTGAATCTGGTGGTTTTTATCTTAATTTTAGTACATTCTCACTGTCTTAAAACAGGATTTGCCAAAGCCATTTAGTCTTATTTGAAGAACTGTTGCTTTATTTTCTCATTCCAAGGGAGACATTTTTGTATCTTTTTAAAACAAGATAATTTTGCTCGTCCCATTGGAATGTATCTTTTTTAAAGCTAATTGCTTTCTGCAAATTGGAACCACTTTTTGCAGTGTGTTTCTGTTGCTTTTGTACACAATTTCTGCGAACAACAAGTGCTCACATACAATAGCCTAGATTATTGTAAAAGAAAAAAACGGCTGGGTATCAATATTAAGCATTCATGACAGCTTTCAGAAAAATACCCTTGTAGATGTTATTACACCCGTGTGCTCTTTGTTTTAGAGATAGGACTCCCGGCAGATACAGCGATAGTTGCTCTGATAGTGCTACATAATGGCCCCATGGCACTATTCACGGCCGAGATATTGCTCACAAAGTTTTGTATTCCTTTTATAGATAAGCGATTCTCATAAAACGGCCCTCCTTCATGGTCCAAGCACGTGACATGGGGCTTTGAAAGAAATTACAAAAGCCATGTATTGGAAAAGAAAGACGGTTAGCACAGCAGTGGTCTTCTCCGCTCAGACCGTCGACCGTGCCTCAAGCTCAAGCTGCGTCTGCCAAAGCATTCAGACGACTAATAAGGTGTGGCATGTAGGAAAGCAGAGAAATGCATCTGTATCAATCTGTTTTTACTGTATTTCAGTGCATTCAATGTAGATGTTGTTGTGTGGATGAGTGTAGTAGAGGTTGTGCACTGCAAAAAATGTATTTTACCTTGATTTGATTACATTCTGACTCAATTAAAACAAGATTTGGGGGCCAATGGGACAAGAGTTTCAGTCTTAATTCAAGAACTGTTTCTCATTCCAAGGGAGACATTTCTTGTATCTTTTTAAGACAAGATCATTTTGCTCATCCCATTGGCAAATCTTGTTTTAAGGCAGTCAAAATGTGCGCAAATTAAGATACATTTAGGCAAGTTTGAGCAATTTTGTATATATTTTTAATCACTTTTTGCAGTGGGTTCGACTTACAGGTAAATAAGTCAAAATATGAGTACTATTTCCATTCTTGAGGAGTTCTTTCATGCTGCTGCATCTTGTTTCCAAGATTTTTATAGTATACAGTCTAGGAATGTCATCAAATTATATGTATTCTTGGTGGAGTACCTGACTTGGAAACCACAAGAAAATGACATGATGTCCCTGGTTTCCGGGTCTCAAAATTGTGTGGTTTTTTCACCAGTTTTTTTTTTACATGTATCTTTGGATCTGCTTTTTCAGTTAAATAGAGTACCAGCCCTAACTCAGCCAATCAGCTCTCAATATGCAAAAGATCAAACATAAGATAAATACAGCATGGTCTGATTTGTTCAAAAAATATTACTTGCACAAGACTCTTTTGGTGTGGACAGACAAAATGTTATTATGAAACCAAAAAAAGTTGCTTTAAGTCGTTAGTTTTCCCTGATTGTGCAAACATGTTGACATCAGATTCATTGGAATTTCATAATCCATATTTATCCCCATGGATTTTGCAAGCTTTGTGCAGAAACTGACAATAATAAGCATCGCTGTGCAGTGGATTTGTGAACAGAACTCACTGACATTTTCCCATTCTATTGTCGTCAGCCAAGTGGTGTCGCAAACAGTTAAATCCTAAACCCTCGCTGAAGCGCGCTGCATTTTGGTTTTAGTTACAAAGAGCCTGCACCTGCACTGATCTGTCTTCACCAAATCTGATCAAATTTTTATTCGGCTTTTCTGTAAAATAAAGTCAGCATAAAATAATACTTCTGTTCTGTTCATGTAATAGACAAAATGCCATGAAGATTTGTCGTGTGTATTATAGATATTTTTTCATGATATATTTCATACAGAACTGCAAGTATATAGTAACAAAACAAGCCACAAAAAGACAATGAAGAGGTAAGGTTACTGTGTAGGGATATAAACAAGCGCAGTACTCTTAAATGAACTCAGGGTCGGGCCTCAGAGCACATTTAATATCATTAGGCAGTGCGTTCCGTTTATTAAAGGAGAAAGCCGCTAATAATACAGCCGGTCTCATCGCAAGCCCAAACTGAGAACAAAGAAAGGGAAATAACACTATGATGATAATTATTATTATTAAACTTTATTACAGACACAAGGTCCAGGTAAAAAATGGGGTGAGAATATGTGTAAGAGTGTGTATGCAAAATCTACCTCCTTCCACTGAGAACGTTTCTGTCTTTCACTGAAACTCGTCATGCATACATTCTGATGGCTTGATTAACTACACTGATGGACAGTGAAGCATCCAGTGGAGGGTATGTAAATGCACTATACGGGCTATAGGGGCGTGCGGCGTCCCCTGTCTCGCTGGTGTCATGGGTCAAGATGGAAGAGGCTCACCGCAGATGTTATGAAGATTTATGCACCGCCACTCACTGCAATTGGGTCAGGCCACAGAGCTGCTGATTAGAAACGAGAATAAATCAGTCATTTTGGTGCATTTGTTATGTTTTGTTATACAGGTTGGTTTAATGTAATGCTTGCTGTCTCATAAGGGAAGAGTGAGAAAAATGTCTTAAAATGTATGGATATTTATAAACATTGGTCATCCCACTTCCTCTGTGGACCAATGGCTTCTATGTGTTTGATATTCTGATCTGTTGTTGGCGAATTGACAGCTTTGTAAAGTCCTCCGTGACGACTGCTGCTGTGATTTAGGGCTATGCAAAAATGGCCATAAATCAAAAAGTTAATTGAAAACATATAAAAATTAAAATAAACTGAATCCGTTTTAAAATATATGTTGTAAGCTTTTATGCACAAATGAATACAAATACACATGTTAATTAATTGTTTATTTCTTATTGTCACAGTTTTCAGTGCGTAATGCTTGCTGTCTCATAAGGGAGGTGTCAGAAAAAAGACATTAAAATATATTTTTTTAAATTAAAATAAAATGTGTGCAATTCGTCATCGTCATCTATTTTACATATCTGTGTGTGAATGTGTGATCATAAAAGACAAATTGAGAACATTCACACCTTGAATGTTAACACTTTCATTTCACTATGAATAATTGATCCTTCTATAAGCACGGGTCGGTCAAGGCTGATGAACCAAACAAACAGAACGGCATAATCCTCAAAATTCATCATGTAAAAATAAAGATTCTGAAAAACTCTTGGAATAAACAACATGATACTTAAACACAATAAAACAAATAACATGCAACATTCTGTAAAAATAGAAAGTCATTTAAAAGTTGACTAATGTAACTTTAATGGCAGAATTTGTGCTAAAATGTTGGACACAGTGAAGTAGTGTTGGACAAATAATATATAAATAAACAATGTTGGGCAGATGTCTTTTTTATGTTAAACTCAGGCACGTGGACCAAATCCAGCCAACAAAGAGAATTTTTAGTGACCCCTAAAATTATTTTCAATTATCTTTATCTCAGTAACTTGCAGCATTGATGGTAATGGGATACTATGGCATGATATACTTCATTTTAAAGCATTTTGTTTCAGGAAAACAACCAAATAAATGTTAACATGTAATTAGAATTTATAGTTTCTAAACATTTTTTTTTTTGTAACAGTCTTCCAATAATTTCTTCTTGATATAGACCCACTAGAAAAGAAGATCCAAATACAGTTAATTGTAGAATAGGTTCAAAAAAATTATAAGCACTTTTATACTTCTGGTCAGCTTTTATATTTTTGAATTTGGCCCTCGACCAATATGAGTTTGACCCCCCTGGCCTAAAGAAAGTCATGCATAGACTTCTAAAAGGGTATATAGACATAAACAAACCAGCGAACAGTGTCTGCAGAGTTTCTTCTCTCCTCCTGCAGTGGTGAGTCTCAGGTGTGCAGTGAGCCGAGCCCAGACAGGAGTGGACTGGATATGGACGGTGACAATAGCCCCAGTATTTCTTCAACTGTTTCTATGTCCACGGGGACACGCCCTTTTTATAGCCTGACTTTATATAGGGTAATTTTTTCTCAACTAGAAACACCAAACAAAAATTCACCAGTGTCTGTGCTGGTAAATTATGCTTCAGAGCCAGAAGGTCCCGGATTCAATTATGGATTGTTTTTTTCTGTGCAAGAGTTTAGATGTTCTCCCCATGCCTGTGTAGGTTTCCTCCAAGTGCTCCGGCTGTCCCTACCGCTACAAACATGTACAGTTTTTATGAATGTGATGAATACATGTTTGCAATTTTTCAATGTATGTTTTGACATGTGACTAGTGAAGTACAATCGTCTCTTGTGGTAGCATCAAGCTAATGCTGGCTAATAGCATTACTTACCCTTCATACTTGTTTCACTACATATTTTTTACTCAAGATTATTTTTCACAGTATATAACATGAAAGGACCAAGTAAATATTGTCATTGTTATTATTATATTATTATTATTATTATTATTATTGTCATTACATTTATTCTAGTTTGCTTCACCAACCCTACACTCTACTGCACTGACCAGCTAAATGACTTAATGCATCTAATTTCATGAAAAACTACAAAACAAGAACAGCCACCTTATCGAGACCTTGTTCATACTCGGATCCTGATGTAGCAACTTCATCATCCTTCCTTCCGGCTGAAAGAGCAATTTACATAATGAGTCAAAGAGATGTTCTCACTCCTACTCCAATCCCTTCTCTCTTGACAGGACATCTCCATCAGATGATTACACCAACTTTGAATGGGCTAAAAATAGTCAAGAGTCATGGATGAGCAGAGCGGATTCTCAGCCTGATAGCAGCAACTGTTGAATCCGGGGTTAAGTGGAGAGGCATTTCTTTAGACAGTACTTAGAAGAAAGTAGAAGAATATGCTAGGAGGGGGGGAAGAGAAACACCACTGCTGCTGCGATTTACCATAGAATCTGGAACCCCAACTGACAAAGAATTATATCATCTAGATAGGTATTGCTACTGTAGCTTAAACTTGTCTCCACATGAACAAGGGACCACCTGCGGTACTGCAGTTTAAATCTACTGAGATTTTCCCATAGACCTCAACTTTAACAAAAATGGCTTATCCTCAGCTAACAGGGAACCTACAGTATATCCATCCCTCCATTTTCATGGTGGGCTCGAACCCAGGACCTTCAGGCTCAAAGGCCAATGCTCTACCAACTGATAGCTGTCATGGAATCAGATTTTGCAGGGATTTTTGTGTTTCTTGTCATTCTGAACTTTTGTTTCTTTTGAAATCCATTGGTTTTCTACTAATCCACACACAAACAAGCTCAATCTCGTCCCGCTCTGGCTCTGCTCTGATTGGTCAGAACGCTTGCATGTCCCTCTGTGCCCAAGCATGATTCACGTGTTTCTCTGGTCCTGTGGAAGTAGAACCACAGCATCCATGGTGCAAGAATGCATCAATGAGGGAAGGCAATTGATTTGAAGATCTGGGAGAGCGGGGTTTGGGGCTGATTTGAAACTCACCTTGAGACATTTTATCTTAAACAATGTGACTAAATGGCCAAAAGAGAGCTCTGAACAAAGTGGTTCGCTCTGCTCGAAGGACCGAACTGTGAAATGCCTGTTATTAGAGCAGACTCTTAACCCGAGCCCTGAGGATTGTAGATGACTCCTCTGGCCATACTGGAATGGCCTTGTTCCAGCCTCTTCCCTCGGGGAGAAGATTCCGGTCCCTGCGGTGCAGGACCACCCGCCATGAGAGTAGCTTCTTCACTCAGGCGGTTATAAGACTGAGTGGAGCGCCCTGAGATCTGCTTCTCTTTGTAGCTCCTCCGTAGTTTCTTAATCATGCTTTTATGAGTTTTATATGTGTCTTGTCTCGCTATTTTTTTTCTGCAAATGGCAATAAATTGATTCTGATTTTTGTTTTGCATTAGAAAAGGGTAATATCTTAAATGAAAATGTTCACTTCCGGTCAGATGTGAACCGATGAAAGAGTTCTAACCATGTCTGATTCAGAAGATGCAAAACACATTTTTTCAACTCCTTTTTAAGCATTCCACATCGGTTCCACCATGACCAAGATATTATTGCAGTTTAAAAACTACAGCTGCAGCAATAAGACTGAAAACTGCCCCCCCGTGAATGTATTCTTGTTGCCTCGTTGCCTCTCGAGACCCCTGCAAAACTACTGCAGAAGCTGTCTGACCTAAAACGAGGTAATAATATCACAGGCGTAAGGTGCACATGTGATGCAGTGGCCAATGCTGAAGAATACAAGAGTACCAAAGTGTACCCAGGCCACTTGACCTGTGCTGGGCCATTTGGTGTGGACAAAGCTGCATGTGTGTTTTCGCCGTGACATACTGGTGGTCATGGTAACAGCTGAGAGATAGAGGACTTGAGTGATTAGCCTTATCAGCGGCAGTAACACCACATCCTACCATCAGCGTCCACTCTGCAGACCCAGGTAAATGGTGGAATGGGAGATAGCAGGTATAATGCAAAGCCACAAAACTCTTACGGTAAATAGTGAGCCTAAGCTGGGGCAGCCACCTCAGCGTTAGATAAACGCACAAAAACGCACAGATAACTCGAATGTGATGGCCATAAACCTCCTCCTTCTCTCTCTATCATTTATTGCATTCATTTGGACAAAAAAAGCCTTAAAAAACAACTGAGCCACTGCCGCTCCTCTTTGATTAATGTATATGGAAAAGGCATTTTATTCTCAGCTGATTTATACTGTATATTGTCAAACAGTGTATTTTTTACTAAATAAAAGTTAAATGAGGTGATCAAAGGCTTTGAGGTGTTTTCAATATCATTTGGGAATAAATTCTGCTAAATAATAAATGCATGGTCTATACTTTTAAATTGGAATGTTCTTCTTACTTGGTTTTGGAATGAACATGGTTTGAATGTGATGATGTGGATCAATAGGGCTAGCATGATTTGGTTTATTTGGTCCCCATAGTCTAAGGTTGATAAGCCTATTTTTCTTGAGGAAATCAAATGTTCTGTATCTGTTTGTCTCCCAGGTGACGAAGATGCTGGCTGTGGTGGTAATCCTGTTTGCACTGCTGTGGATGCCCTATCGGACTTTAGTCCTGATCAACTCCTTTGTGTCCACTCCTTATTTGGACGCATGGTTCCTGCTCTTCTGCCGAACATGTATCTACGCCAACAGTGCAATCAACCCAGTCATCTACAACGCCATGTCCCAGAAGTTTCGTACGGCTTTTCGGGGGCTGTACCGCTGCCAGAGGCCAGAGGGCGCTCACAGGACCATGTCAATGCTACAGAGTGGGCTTGGCACGGTCAGAGACACACGCCGCTCCCATGCCCCCAGCGAAGAGGACAAAGAAAAGGTCAAGAAACCCTTAGAGATGAGTCCACAGCACAATGGCAGTGGTCATCTACAGATTGTAGAAAATGGTACAAAAGATGGACATGATGGACCGTCAGCATTCACATTTGAGACTTTGCCCCCAGTGGAGAGTGCTGAGGATGTTTCAGACACATGTTCAAGCACACACATGACAAATGAGCACCACAATGGTATAAAAATGTGAACATAATGAACATAGTATAATATAAATCATGTACATTCTATATGTTGTACAGGGCATCATTGAGTATAGCTGCGAGGCTCAAAGCGACTTTTATACACACTTATGCTACGGCCTTTCGCACAATATAGGGGTTTCTCCACTGGTCCAGTATGGGGTGTTGTGGAGCCGGCTCAGTGGTTCTCCACTACCCTTCGTGAGTCATAGCGGCTCGTCAATGCAGCCAAAATCAACCGCCTCAGTGGACCTGCTACCCCAGAGGGCTGGCGCGGTTTGGCTTTGGGGTCAGTTTGCAGGGCTAGGATGCCCCCACACAACCATTGGATGGAAGTCACATGGCATAATGTGATTGTCACTATATGCAATAAGAAATACACATTTATATTTATATGTAAGAAGAAGAAAAATCACATGTTTGGTAAATGGAATTGCACCGTGCACAGAGGATATACTGCACTTTAGCTTTCTCACTTTTCCCTGAGGAAGAGAGCGGATGGATATTTTGATCATTTAAGGTAGACAGAAAGGACAGGCATAGAGATATAAACAGAATGTGGGTCACAGGGATGGCATTATTACAGCAATTGGATAATCAGATTTTTGGCTTCTCTGGACTCTGCAGACCGCAGATTATATTATTATACAATAACTAGTCACTGCTGTCTGCACTCAGCTCGTCTGAGGCTTCGCCACCAGTGAACAGTTAAACTAGTGTTACTCCCCAAACAGAACCAGACCTTTTGCATAAATATCCCCTTTGCGCGTGTGTAACCACCTAAAAGACTTGCACTTCCAGTAACCCGAACGAGTCGAACAGCGCCTCGTGTGGACAAGCATGATAAAGGGTTGAATGAAGCCATCACTTTTTTTTATTCATGTCTTTAAAATATAAATTTTGCATCGTGGAGGTTTTGGGGTAATGAAAATAGTACTGTTTTAATTTTGTTTCAGGCTATGACATCTTCTTTAATGAGCAGCAGACGTTACCACTGTGGGACACACGCGTGTGATCAGGGCACACACTGTACATTTTGTACATAGGGGGAAACTGCAAATACATTAACAACTCTTCCTTATGCATGCTCGTTGAAATTGTCCTTTTAGTTGTATACAAATAAATACAAGTTTAAATGTTGTGAAGTGTGGCTCGAAGACATTGTATTTTTGAGGGAAATGTACAGGTGTACAGACTTGTCCTGTCAGTCAGCTGACCCTTTAAAATCTGACGTTATGTGGCGCATGTGGTGTAATGATCAGTGTGACCTTTTGTTTTTTCTTGTGTTAGGAGTGGGATGTGTGGTGGTGAAAAAAACATTTAACGGAAACATTCCTCTATAACCTCAATTTAGAATCAGACTGAAATATGGAGTCACTTCTGATACTTTTTAATTTAGAATGAATACAGTATTGTTAAAACTACTATAATTTAACATGTTGTGGTGTTCGTAAGCTATATTTTGTAGTATCTGTTGTATGGCGTATTCAACATATTGTAATTTAACATGTGAAGATATTTTCTAATCTACATTGTCTTAATTAGTTCCAAACTCTGTATTCTATGTAGTATAGGATGGCTGCAGTGATTGTAACTTATAAAACGTGTGTGCTGCTAGACTCCATAGACTGCGAACAGCACGGACCAGCTCATTTATTTTACTGTCCCTGGTGGCTACAAAGAAGTACAATAATTTATCATTTTCCCACAGTGTGACGCGCAATGAGGGCGTTGGTCGAAAGTTTATAACAAACTTTCTGCATTTCGGGAGTACATTAGTGTGTGGATGGTGCAGTTGTGTTGTCGGTGTGAGTGTGTCATAGTTTAGCCCTGGAGAGCTGCCCGTCTACTCAGTTGTGATGACTGGGTTTACCATAACTGTGTCATGTATCTGAAAATGATGTATTATACAAATAAATGTTTATCTGTTGATATTTTGTTCTTGGTAAAATATTGTTTGCAAATAGATAAATACTATTGACTCCATATCATGCCCAGTCGCACTTTTCAGCTTCATCTATTATTCATTCACTCTCCGCTTTGGAAGTACACTAGTTGGCCACGCCTGCCCTGGCCTGAAGTGATCTGACAGAATCCAGCCACGAGCACTTTTGTGTCCTATAACCCTCCTTCATACACCAAAAGGAAGACCTTACGTCAGCAGATAGGCGTTTTAGCTGTGGGAAAGAATTTAAAACATATTTGTAGGAAAACATGCCAACATCAATATTTATTTTCTGATAATATTTGGGCCTGTAGTGATAGCCTTGATGGCCAAGACAGACCTCCACTGTATGAAAATATCCACTAGAAAGTATGTACTGTACGTGGGTGATGATAGAAATGCAATAATAACAAACACATATAGGAGCCCTTGGTCCTTAGGGTAGCAGGATGACCAATGTCTAAAAAGAAAAATAAATGTGAGAAAACCTTGGGGAGGGCCATATTGAGAGAGTGATCTGCTCCCACAAACGGACAGGCAGTAGAAACAGGCCTGAAGCTGATGATCCAGGACTCAGCCTGTTGATCCAGGACTGAGGCTGATGATCCAGGACTGAGGCTGATGATCCAGGACTCAGGCTGTTGATCCAGGACTGAGGCTTATGATCCAGGACTGAGGCTGATGATCCAGGACTGAGGCTGATGATCCAGGACTGAGGCTGTAGATCCAGGACTCAGGCTGTTGATCCAGGACTGAGGCTGATGATCCAGGACTGAGGCTGATGATCCAGGACTGAGGCTGATGATCCAGGACTGAGGCTGATGATCCAGGACTGAGGCTGATGATCCAGGACTGAGGCTGATGATCCAGGACTGAGGCTGATGATCCAGGACTGAGGCTGTAGATCCAGGACTGAGGCTGTAGATCCAGGACTGAGGCTGTAGATCCAGGACTGAGGCTGATGATCCAGGACTGAGGCTGATGATCCAGGACTGAGGCTGATGATCCAGGACTGAGGCTGATGATCCAGGACTGAGGCTGTAGATCCAGGACTGAGGCTGTAGATCCAGGACTGAGGCTGTAGATCCAGGACTGAGGCTGATGATCCAGGACTGAGGCTGTAGATCCAGGACTGAGGCTGTAGATCCAGGACTGAGGCTGTAGATCCAGGACTGAGGCTGATGATCCAGGACTGAGGCTGATGATCCAGGACTGAGGCTGATGATCCAGGACTGAGGCTGATGATCCAGGACTGAGGCTGATGATCCAGGACTGAGGCTGATGATCCAGGACTGAGGCTGATGATCCAGGACTGAGGCTGATGATCCAGGACTGAGGCTGTAGATCCAGGACTGAGGCTGTAGATCCAGGACTGAGGCTGTAGATCCAGGACTGAGGCTGATGATCCAGGACTGAGGCTGTAGATCCAGGACTGAGGCTGTAGATCCAGGACTGAGGCTGTAGATCCAGGACTGAGGCTGATGATCCAGGACTGAGGCTGTAGATCCAGGACTGAGGCTGTAGATCCATGAGTCTGGGTCAGGGAAACCAGTTCACGCTGATGTGCAGAACTGCGCTGTTTTTGCATAATTGAGACAACATTGTTCACTGACTGGCCTTCTAGACACAGACAACTCTTGGGGAAATAATTACACCATTTGAAAGGTAAATGTGAGACTCTGTAACTATCAACATGCCCCTCAGAAGCAGCAGGTGAATGACTGTGAATAATAATAAAAAAAACTATCTCACAGCACTCAGACGAGGATGCCGGCCTGATAGGCGTAACATGGTGGGTTTATCTTATCTTTTATATAAAAATCAAATCAGAATCAAAACAATGTAGGTTATTATTTTTATTGGCACGTCCCTAGTTCAAAGGCACAAAGAAGGTCAACTTGCCATGTGGTAACTACCGTATTAATAATAAAATCAGAAACACAGAAAGGTGTAAAAGAGGAACTTACGTAGAGCAGCACGTGGATAGCATTCTTACCTCTCAGCAAGAAGGTCCTGGGTTGGAATCCTGGTCAGATTGGGGTCTTTCTGAGTGGAGTTTGCATGTTCTCCCCGTGCTTGCGTAGGTTTCCTCCGGGTACTCCGAGCATCAACATCTGGAGATGGGTTCCCGGGCGCTGTACAACAGCAACCACTGTTCCTGACATAAGCCTTAGCGGCATCAGGATGGGTCAAGTGCAGAGGATGAATTGCCCTATGGGTGGTAGTGCGGCGGTGGTCTCCTAAGACAAAACAAAAAATGTGTAATTGAAAGGAAAAAAACGCCATAATAATTTATGACATAAATGGATAATACGTAGAAGGTTTGTCTATTTGTGTGACTTCTATGAGACATCTTCATCTGAACAACAATGATCCCTTCATACTATGCAGAAGTTAATCTTCAATAGATGCTGAGGTCCACTTGACGTACGGCCGTGATTCTCTTCTGTGTTTACTGTTATCCTCTAAATATAGTCTAAAGCCATGCTGCAGGGCTGGCATGCGCAAATTTGCCCCGTTTTGCCGGGTTCGGTGGTTTTTGCACGCTTCCTATTGGCGTCTCCAACCCACAGCCTGTTAAAGGTCCCATACTACGCTTTTTGACTCTGCTTTAAACATGATTACAGTACTATTTGGCCTCATACATATGCCCAGAGTAGTTTTTTCATTGATTCTGTCAATCTTTAGTTAGTCCGTGATGATAACCACTCTGATGACGAATATGAAGAATTACCCCGTTTGCTTTGTATTTAAAATGGTGTTTGAATACTTTTGTCAAAATGGGGTAAACAATACACCATTGTTGTATGCTGTTTGTTGTCAAGAATAATAAAAATGAAAATAATAGTAAAAGACTGCAGTTCATCACAAATCAGCTCGAATTTTTTTATCTGTTTGGGATATTTCTTTAATCACTATAGCAGGTCAATTTTGTATCCAAGTTTACAGAGAGTGGAGGTGTTGTCGCACATTTCTACTAATCAATTCATTTCAAATCAAAAGGGACATTATAACATAAAAACACTTTTACAACTAGAAAATAGGCCAATATACTAGTCAGCTGATTTGAGACTCAACAACTGTGACTAAAGCGGGTGTGTGTGTCTTTGTGTGTCAGGGAAGGGTTAGGGTTACGTGTAGTTTCTGTCCCCACGCCAAAGGGGGCAGTAGCTGGAGCCTCACTCAAAGTACTGCCCATGGTCTTCATTGCTTTGCCTGGGATGACTGTACCAACACACACACTTATCTGTGCATCTGTGTATCTTTTTGTAAAATTGTCCGACATTTTACAGACATTTTTTAAATCGTATATCATTAATATCATATTTTGTCATATTTTTTAATATAAAAAATAGTCTTTTGATTAGTGAAAATATCTCATCACTTGTTGAGCAAGGTCTGTGTAAAATCATATACACCAAGTGAGGTGGAGGGCGGGAGACTGCACAACATAACATGGACCAGGGTTAACAATCTCAAAGAGGAAATTTGGAATAATTACACTGAAATGAAAAATAAAAGGAACTCATTATACAGTGGGGTTTACAAGTATTTCATCAGCCACCAATTGTGCAAGATGAGATGGATGTACTTTTTCTCAGATATACCTCAACTATGAATCCAGAATATTACATTTAAAAAATTAAAAAATGCTCAATTATGGCATAAAATAAGAGTTTAGTCGATAACAAAAGTCCATATCAATACATTTTATATTCCCTCTGATGGCACTGACAGAGGTCAAAGGTTTTCTTTAAGTACAAGGTTGTCACACACTGTTGCTGGTATTTTGGCCCATTCCTCAGTGCAGATCTTTCAGGTGAGGATTTAGGGCTGTCGCTGGGCAATACAGATTTCAAACCCATTTTCTGGATGTTTTTTTTCTCATTTTGTCTTTCTTAGTTGAGGTATGATGAAATTTACTGGCATCTCATCTCTTAATTGGGAGGACTTGATCAATTGATTGACAATTGATCAGCACCTTTTACCACTGTGACTTTACTGCACTGCTAAAAGACACAGTGGTGTCCTTAGAGATACTACTATCTACAAGATATTATATGATTTTA